ATTAATTCAACTGATGGGATTTATATTCTGAAATATGAGCCACACTGATAAAATTGAATGAGCTAGAATGATTTATCTTATAGCTGTGAAGTCTTTGTGTGGCGCTGTGAGTTAATGCACCAGACTGCATAGCCGTTTGAACTGCAAGGTCGGCAGTTCAAGCTCACCAGTTGCTCCTCGGAAACCCTACACAGAGTCGCTATGGGTCAGAACCGACTCTACGACACTTCACAACAACAGCAATCTTACGGCTGTAGGACCATTAATGAGATTAACTATATATTACATTTCTGGAGGCATTGGTATGTAGTTTGCTTAGGATCTTTTTTGCCCTCTTTGTGTTAGTGCAGTAAACTACTGCACATTTTAACAACAATGACATTAAATTGGGTTTATTCACATGGAACAGATTGCTCTAATTCTTAAATTTGTAAGCTCTAGCAAGATGAGTTATATACTAAAAATATGTACCTCAAAAGTCTTGTTATGAAAATAAACCAAAGATAAGAAAGCATATATTTGTAGTGCGCCATTACATTCTACAAAGGAGCAAATGGTGCCTATGAGATATATTCACTTCAGCCTGGCAAGTTACCAAACTACTTACATCATCCTGTAATCATCATCTGCTGCAAACTCCTGACTTTGCACAAGAAATACTGTGCTGTTAGATCATTTTTCATACTTGTAATTTGATTCTCATGGGTTGTATGGTATCATGGTTAGAGCATCCCAGACTTACATGGGAAAATAGTATTAATGCTTCTTTGTATTGTGCTCCTTTAAATTATATCTTTGCATCATCTTATAATGTAGTTGAAAGAAAATACTGCTTTGTCTTTCAGATTTGAGCATAAATCAAACAGATGAGAGTGCATGTCAAGAACACATATTTGTACCATTGTATAATCAAGAAAAACGTTGTACATATGTTAAATCTTAAAATTCTGTTTTTACTATGCAATAAGAAATTTCTATTAAATCATCTTATTTCATTGACTAAGGAGCCCTGCTGGCATAGTAGATTACAAACTGGGCTGCTAACCCACAAGGTCAGCAGTTCAAATCTCCCAGCCTCGGCAAGTCAGTCCAGTACCACTGTGAGTTGGAAGCGACTTGATTGCACACCACCATTTCCTTGAATAAAATTATCTGATAAACACTTGTTGTTATTGTTATTGTGAGGTGCCATCGAGTCGGTTCCGACCCGTAGTAACCCTGTATACGGTTTCTGAGGAGCAGCTGGTGAGCTTGAACTGCCTACCTTGCAGTTAAAACAGCTTTGTAGTCTGGTGCATTAACCCACAGCACCACACCAGGACTCTAAATATCCTCCAAATGTCTGGGTTGCGAATTACGTCTACCCAGTTCATAGGTGAGTTTTCTTTCATCGCGGATGGCCTAGTGAAGATGGTGGTTTCTTTAGCACCATTATCTTATAAAGCTTAACAGTATACAGGAAATTACTTCATGGGGCGTGGGAAGGAGATTCAGCCCAAATCTCATTAAAAAATAATTGAAGCAGAATACAAGAAATAGCCTCATAAGACTAGCTGAAATACCAGTCTCCACAGCAAAATTTAATCACAAAAATGAATTAAAAATGATAGGTTAATTGGTTAAAGTTTAGGAGAAAGCAGGAGGTTCCAAGTAAGGGGTAAAACTAAACACTAATTGAAATTCTCACATTCAGAATGAGAATACAGGCTGAAGAGAGAACAAGCCAGTTTCTTAGGCCCATACCTCACCTCTCTGTTTTCTTTATCCTTTGGTATTTAAAGGCCAAACTTGAAAATATTCCTTTACCTAGACTCTGATTGGGCATTCCTGGAATAAACTACTGTGCTAGGAAAAATGCTGTATATTTGTTGGCTCAGGCCATGCTATTCCATGCTATTCCATGACAAGGAAGATTGAAGTGGTGTCAACCCTCCTAAAGGATGTGGCTGTTTGCACATGAGAAGGACTCAAATGACTATCTCTGTAAATAAAATGGTTACGAATCGGGCAGCGAACCTCACAGTCAGCAGTTCGAAACTACCAACTGCTCCACGAGAGAAAGATGAGGCTTTCTGCTCTCATAAAGATTTACAGCCTCGGAAACCCTGTACAGGGTCACTATGAGTCGGAACCGACTCCACGGCACATCACAACGTTGAATTTTATATCGCAAGTGATACCCAAAAATACTATGTATACAGAAAATATAACACAATATACCTATTTCCATATTTCATCTAAAAGATGAATTTATTCTACAGTGGGAAGTTAAAATGTAGGAATAAGGTGATTCAAGTCAGATTAACAATAAATTTTTTGAAAAAACCTTAACGGCAGCAGAATAAGCAGAGCAGGTAATGGTTAGGGACGTAAGGAAAAACTAACCGGTAAAAATATGGCATTAGAACTGTGTGCTAAATAAGCTACAGTCAAGAAGTAGCCCCAGAGGCGGGGCTTGATGGCGCCTAGGATAGAGGTGCAGAATGGGGAAAAAATGTGGGGTGTGTGGTGAGGGGATGGAAGGGAAGGTGGAGCTCAGGACAGGGAATAGACATAGAATAGTTTGGGTCCGGGGGAGGGGGGCAGTACACAAGAAGGGAGAGTGAGATGGAAGAACACTTCGGCAGGTTTGCATGGGCTAAGTGGGACAGAGGTAAATAATGATGTATGCACAACCTTGGAACAACAGGGCTCTGGGATACAGGGATTGAGACATGGGTGGAAAGGGCAAAAGGGGGAACATAATGTTAAGATGCTTGGCTGTCTTTTGAATCTTGGTTTTTCTTGCCTACCAATATAAAGTAGACACTTGAGGGAGAGGGAAAGGAATAGCCATAATTATCACCTAGAAAGCTTGTAAGTCCATTTTCTGCCTATAGCTGATTGGAATACCTAAAATTGGGCTACAATGTGCCCATTGAAGTGACTGACTTGCAAGTTTTCATGAGGGAGCCTAGATCCAGAGGGCATTGGGGAAGGTAGAATCTCCAGTGAGTAGTATCCAATCTGTCTAGGCAGGACTGATGAAAGGAAATGCAGATAGGTCTCCTGTGATACAGTAGTGAATAATTGTTATCAGGACTGACTGTGAGGGTTGGAAATGTAATGGTAGACGTTTTGTAGCAAAAGGAGGGGATTGACTGACTTTACAGTCTAGGAGCAGAGGTCTCTGGGACCATCAAGGGGAAAGAGTGGAGAGTGGGACCCTACCCAGAGAAGCAGTGATGGCAGAGATGGAGGCAAAAATGATGATATGGAGAGATGGAGCAATTGGGGACTTTAGACACAGAGAGGGAGAGAAGGGCTGTGTGCTGACGACCGAGGGGCAGGCTTGCAGGGGTATACCCTTTGGTTGGTTGATGATGCATGGAGGGGATTGTAACCATGACAATGAAACGCTATACAATAGGATGAATGTAAAGCTAATGTTCTCCCATGTAAACTGTCACATAATGCACAATAAAACATTAAAAAAAAAAAGGCTGTAGCCCCAATAGCTGACCCAGTATCCTGAGCCTGATAGGCAATGCCTTTACTGACTTAGGAATGAGTGCAGAGGTCAGTGCCAAGCATTTTCTTATAGTAGCTACATAATCTTGGTCCCCAGTAGGAAGAAGCCTTGTTAGATATTTGTGTTGTGTTTTAAGTATCTCTCCAGTACACTTAACTGTGCTCATGAGGAACCTGGACCTGGACCAAGAAGCAGTTTTTGGAGCAGAACATGGGAACACTGAATGGTTTAAAATTTTAAAAGTGTGTGACAGGGTTGTATTCTTTCACCGATTTATTTAACCTATATGCTGAGCAAATAATCCGAGAAGTTGGGTTCTATGAAGAAAAACGTGGCACCAAGATTGGATGAAGACTCATTGGCAACCTGCGTTATACAGATGATACCACCTTGCTTGCTGAAAGTGAAGAGGACTTAAAACATTTACTGATAAAGATCAAAGAGCACAGCCTTCAGTATGGATTACATCTCAATGTAAAGAAAACAAAAATCTTCACCCCTGGACCAGTAAACAACATTCTTATCAACAGAGAAAAGACAGAAGTTGTCAAGGACTGCATTCTTCTTGGATCAACTATCAACATTCATGGAAGCAGCAGTCAAGAAATCAAACGACATATTTGAACAACGTATTGCATTAGGCAAATCAGCTGCACAAGACCTTTATAAAGTGTTGAAGAGCAAAGATGTTGGCTTAAGGACTGAGGTGCGCCTGACCCAAGCCATAGTATTTTCAATAACCTCATATGCATGCGAAAGCTGAACAGTGAATAAGGAAGACTGCAGAAGAATTGATGCTTTTGAGTTATGGTGTTGGAGGAGAATATTGAAAGGGCCATGGGCTGCCAAAAGAACCAACAGATAGATCCGTTTTAGAAGAAGTGTAGCCAGAGTACTCCTCAGAGTCCAAGATGGCTAAACTTCGTCTCTCATACTTCGGACATATTATCAGGAGGGATCAGTCGCCGGAGAAAGATACCATGTTTGGTAAGGTGGAGGGTCAGAGAAAAAGAGGAAGACCCCCAATGAGATGGATTGGCCAAGTGGCAGCATCGGTGGGCTCAAGAGTGGCGACAGTAGTGAGGTTGGCCCAGGACCGGGTAGTGTTTCGTTGTGCTGTGCATAAGGTCACTCTGGGTCAGTACCGACTCGATGGCACCTAACAACAAGGGGTCTTGGTGTCATGTGGTAGAATAAGCACTGGACTGCTAACCACAAGGGTCACTGTAAATCTGAACTGACTGAACAGCACTAAACAACAAGTATTCCAAGCAGGAAAATAGTGACACGTGTTTTATAAACTTGATATATATTTCGGATTTTGATGAATTTTCTTGACTTATTTTTTAAATATCTAAAAATGCATGCTTAGCTCATGAGTTTATTGTACAATTTGTAACTGGTACTGGTGAAAGCTTGTTTCATATCTTTGCTAAAGTATTGTAATGACTGTTACATGTTAATGAATGCTGTTTTTATTTTTTTACAGGTAATGGCTTTGTAAACTCAAGAGGTTCTCCCAATTTGATTGGAACTACTGCTACAAATAATTTAGGCAAAGTCATGCCTACAAAGTCTCCACCTCCTCCTGGGAGTGGCAATCTTGGAATAAATAGTCGAAAGCCAGATCTTCGAGTTGTTATCCCCCCTTCAAGCAAGGGAATGATGCCTGCTCCATTGGTAAATTGAACCTTTCAACTCCATTTCTCAAAAGCACTTCTTTTATACATAGTGTATGTCTTGTTGTAATTCTCTGTACCTTCGTGAAATTTAGACATTTTCTTAATTACTGTTTTTATTCAAAATTAGTATTTAAAGAGAAAAGTGTATTTTCAATGCACAGAAAGTAGACTGGAAAAATTGGAATTTTTAAACCTCATTAGAGTTGTTGTGTGCCATAGAGTCAGTTCCAACTCATAGTGACCCAGTATAGGGTTTTTCAGAGTGGCTGGTGGATTTGAAGTGATGACCTTGTGGTTAGCAGTCCAGTATTTATCCTATAGCTCCATACCAGGGCTCCATCTCATTAATAGTTATTTTAAATTAAAGCAAAATGTGGAGAGGTCGAGAGGTTTTTTTTTTTGCTTAATATAATTTGACTTGCCTGGAATCTTGCTTAGAAATCTCATTCCCCAAATTGATAAATTAAACCCAGCTAAAGTATTTCTTATCTGTACTTTGCATACTTGATGCATTAAATTATTAGGTAGGAAATTCTACACAGCAAAGAGAACTATTGTAGAGAAGAATGCATAAAAACTTGGATGGGCTATTCTGTAAATAGTTTTTCTTTGTTTACTTCTTCGTAACCTGCTTATTTAATTCTATAAAGAATGGAGGTATCCCTCCGCATTTTCTGACTGTATCTTTATAGTTTCAGCGTCATTTACTTTTGGAACCTAAGCCCATGTTTATAAAGAACAGGAAAATACATTTATTCTCTTAGCCTCTGTATGAAAAGAATTGTAATATACAAGTTTTAAGACCATTTCTAATTAGCTACTTGACTGTTTATACACTTTAAGTGATACACTGTACTTTGTATTATACAGCTGCTAACTCACCACTTTTTCTTAACTGAAAGTGATGTTATCAGGCTTAGATAATAAATCTACATTTTTATAATGCTCTCTTGTACAGAACTGGGATAGGAGAAGAATAGCAAGTTCAGTAGAGACAGAAACTTGCTTGGCTTCTTCTCTTTTTCTCCTATAAAATAAACGGATTAATAAGTGAGGATATGCACACACAAAAAACCCTTTCCCTTAGGACACTGGTGACATCTAAATGCATCTGGGGAAGTAGAAAAGGAAAAATAACTCTACACATGTTAGAGGAGGAGGCATTGGGTACAAAATGGCTGAGAGAATGGTAGCGTATCTGAGCAGACCATATCCTCAAGACTCAGAGACACAGTGCCTGGCTACATCAAAAAGGCAGAAATCCCGCCTAACCCCTGCCCCCCAACAAATAATCATAAAAACAGTTGTGAGGTTAGCCCAGGACCCGGTAGTATTTCGTTCTGTTGTGCATAGGGTTGCTATGAGTCAATACCGACTCAATGGCACCTAAAAACAACGAGTACGTTGCAAAAGACAGATACTTTCTGAGGCACAACATAAAGAAGAAGGGTTAAGACATAATGGAGCAGTCATTTAGGGTTGATGAGGAAGAGTTGAGGGTTGGGTGGAAAACCTTTGCCAAACCAAGCTCTCCGTTCTCTGAACTATTTCAAGCCTGTGCCAGGTATATTGACAGTAACCATAGCAACAGCAAAGCTCAGACCTAGTCCAATTTCATAATTAACTCAAACTCTAGTAAATCCTAGCAGAAGGAAAGGCTTGTCTATTCCCATGCATAAAAACTATTTACCATAATTTCTACCATTCTGTGGGAGCACAGTGGCTCCTAAAATAAACACTGGATTGTGAACCACAAGGTTGGCAATTCAAGCCAACCAGCTGCTCTTCAAGAGAAAGATGAGGCTTTCTGCTCACTCGAAGATTTAAAGCTTCAGAAACCATATACAGGGTCTCTATGAGTTAGAACTGACTCAGCAGCACTTAAAAATAGCAACTACCATTCTATGCAAGATGTCTGACTTTTAACAAAAAAAGTTGTGAGGCTTACTAAAAGGCATTAAAAAAAAGCACATTCTGAAGAGATAAAAGAGACATCAGACTCAGATATGACACAGATATTGAAAGTATCTGACAGAATGTAAAATAATTATGAGTAGTATCTTAAAGACTGAGAAAAAGACATTGCACATGCAAGATCAGATGGATAATTTCAGCAGAGAAATGGAAACCTGTAAGAATGAAGTGCAAATAGTAGAAATGAAAATACCATAAAAATGAAGAATGCCTTCATCAAGCTCATTAGCAGAATCAATACAACCAAGGACAGAATCAGTGAATTTTGTAAGCAGCCAGTAGAAATCACCCGAGGTGAAATGCACAGAGACGGGTGAACTACAAGTGAAGCAAACAAACTAACAACAAAATGAAGACTGTAAGAACTATGACCCTGTCAAATGGTTAGAAAACAGGGAGAGAAGATGCGGCAAAAGCCATATTGGAGGACATAATAACTGACACTAAGTAGGCTAGATACCACCAAGTGTGCAAGTGCTTGTGCCTGTGCACACACATAGGCACACACCACTAAAGGCAAAATGCATCATAGCGGCCAATAAAGAACAGAGAAACATTACATGTTGTATCACTAAAAGGCATGCAAATTAGAAACAGTGGAGTAACATACTTAAATTGCTAAGACTAAGAAAACAATAACAAACCTTGTGCATAATTCTATACCCAGCAAAAATATCTTTCCAGAATGAACATTAAATAAAGACTTTCTCCTGCAAACAAAAATTATGGAAATTTATGAGCAGCAAACCTGTTACAAGAAATATTAGAAATCCTTTAGGCAAGAGAATATGATAACATAAAAACTAAGATCTACATAAAGCCATCAAAAATGGAAATGGAATAAGTTAAAATTAAATTCTGCCTTTTATTTTAGAACAGTTTTACAGAGACTTCCTGTATACTCTACGCCCATTTCCGCTATTATTACCAGCTTACATTTGTTCTTCTTGTTAGTAGGTGACATCATGTTTGTACCAACTCATAGTGACGCTGTGCACAACACAACAAAACACTGCCTGGTCCTGGGCCAACCTCACAATTGTTACCACGCTTGAGCCTACTAATTCTACCACTGTGCCAGTCCATCTCACTGGGGGTCTTTCTCTTTTACTTCACTCTCCACCTTACCAAACATGATATCCCTTTCCAGTTACTGGTCCCTTCTGACAATATATACGAAGTACAAGAGATGAAGTCTGGTCATCCTGGCCTCCAAGGAGCACTCTAGCTGCACTTCTTCCAACACAGATCTGTTTGTTCTTTTGGCAGTCCATGGTACTTTCAATATTCTCCTCCAGCAGCATAACTCAAATGCATCAGTTCTTCTACGATCTCCCTTATTCGCTATCCAGCTTTCACATGCATATGAGGTTATCGAAAATACCACGACTTGGGTCAGGCAAACCTTAGTCCTCAAGCTGACATCTGTGTTCTTCAACACTTTAAAAAGGTTTTGTGCAGCAGATTTACACAATGTAATACGTCATTTGGTTTCTTGGCTGTTGCTTTCATGAGTGTTGATGGTTGATCCAAGAAGAACGAAGTCCTTGACAAATTCAGTCGTTTCTCCATTGATAAGAATGTTGTTTATTGATCCAGTG